TTTTTCTGTTCGGCTATTCTAACGCAGTTTTTCTTCCCTTCCTCCTCATCCTCTTCATCTTCTCCCCCCTACTCCTCCTCATCTTCTTCCTCCTCCTCCTCCTCATCATCATCATCTTCTTCCTCCTCCTCCTCATCATCATCATCATCATCATCTTCTTCCTCCTCCTCCTCCTCCTCCTCCTCCTCTAATGTCGACGTGCCACGTGGCAGACTTTTTTTTTTTTTTTTTTGGTTTGGCAATTCTAATGCCGTTCTTCTTCTCTCCTCCTCATCCTCCTCCTCTCCCTCCTATTCCTCCTCATCTTCTTCCTCCTCCTCCTCCTCATCGTCATCATCATCTTCTTCCTCCTCCTCATCGGCGCACTGTGCGCAGAGGTCCCGAGGCCCTGTGCGCACAGTGCGCTCGTGGAAAATGGGCCGCACTGCGCACAGCGCCCCACCCCGCACTGCGCACCGCACCAGGGCGCCGCAAGTATGGTCAGAACTAATAGGAAATACTTTGATGCAGTAGTGCTGATAAGGCCATGGAATTCTGCATCTGTACTCCTCTGAATCATTGTAGCTAAAGACTGCAACAACCCGTGGTTTGCAGTTTACTTGATTCTGTTTCGCGTTGTGAGAGTCCAGAACGCCAAGTTCGCACAACGTGGTGCATTATGGACTAAGTTCTGGTCCTTGCCATGAAGGAGCTGGCACTACATGGGTGGGTGTGTCTGGAATAACATTGACTCTGCTCAAGCAGGCCATGGATGGCGCACACGCTCCCTATCAGGGAAACTGCACTCAGTTAGCAGATGGTCCTTAAACCACCATTATTCTCCCCAGCTAGGCTGTCCACACCCTCCACTTAACATGGCACCACTGATAGGCTCAACCTACTGGACCACAAAGCCTATGTAGGCTCTCTCACAAGCCGGTTCAAAATTGGGAGAGGGTTGCTTGAGAAAGCATCAAACGGAGAAGAGGGGGCGGGGGAGGGGGGGTATGTCCGGAGACTTCTTTTTACATGTACAGGCTTTGTTTGTGGAAGAAAAGGACAAAAAAGGCGCACCGAAACATTTGTGAAATTTACTCCAAACTTCCAAAGCATGTGAAATTTCTTCCAAAGTGGTGCAGTCCTTACCTTCTTTGCGGCCTAGCGACGGCGACAAGAAATCATATGCCAGAAAATGTGATTCGAATGGAAGACTGCAATGTCTTCCCACAACGACAACGAGCTCATACAATTTCTTTCAAAAAAGTGTGGTCCTTACCTTCTTGCCAGACAGGCGACCAGCAACAACCAATAGTATGCCATGAAACACAATTCTCACCGAAGACACCAATGTCTTCAATCCAAACATAAGCACTCTGGAGTCTGAACCCCCATGGCCCCCAATTTCTTCCCTGAGGGAGGCCCCCGCTTTTTTCACTTTCTTTGTCGACAGAATTGCCCGCTTCCAGGTCCAGTACGGCACTCACTGGCGGATATGTTCAGCACCTGTGCTGCAAACCTACTCGCAGTAACACACATAGCTCCCAAATGCTTTGCACAGGGTATTTCCCAATCAGCGACTTCACCCACCTTAAACCCAGGATCTGGCTAAATGGCTTGCATACTGTATATTTCCCAATCAGCGACTTCACCCACCTTAAACCCAGGATCTGGCTAAATGGCTTGCATAATGTATTTCCCAATCAGCGACTTCACCCACCTTAAACCCAGGATCTGGCTAACTACCGTCTTCCCCCAAACACAATGCACCCTCGTTTTGACTGTGTCTAGGCAGAAAGATAGTCTGTATACATTCATTATCAGGGTGTGTTATGTTTGGCGGAAGACGGAGTCTGTATACATTCATTATCAGGGTGTGTTATGTTTGGCGGAAGACGGTAGTCTAAAATAGTCTACTAAAAAACTTAAACCCAGGATCTGGCTAACTAGTCTAAAATAGTCTAACCAAAATGGTTTCTTTTTCACTGCACCCCAGTGGCATTCCAAAGAGAGAGAAGTTTCAATCTTAGCAATCCACTATTGAACATTCCCCCTGTTCAACTGTGGAGGAGGAGGAAGCTTCACCTGTTTGTCCCATCCCAGGAAGAAAAGTCGATACAAGAGTTCATA